GCTGAACACAGCTATCTACTTTTTATGACCCTAAGTGATCCCTCATTGATTTGTCCCCAGCTGAAACAGCATGGATGGGACTTTTTATTTTGGCACTCCAAAGTATTATAGACCTGTGTATCTCATAAGCTCTTTGGCCTTTTTAAAAAATAATAAAAATACAGAAATGCTGTCATCTCGCCCTCTCTCGGCAATTAGACTGACTCATCTTGCGGAATGAATGAACAAATCATGAAACAGGGAAGAATGTCAGGGATTGCCGCTGAGGAGAAATTAGATTTGGGGTGTGTGCTTTAATAAGGAACAGCCTAATTCACCCTTTTTGAACAAATCCATGAGCTGAAATGCAGATCTCTTAAATGTGCACTTCTCTGAATTTTGCAACGCAGTTCACCAACTCGATAACGTGTACTAAAAGGCATTTTATTAGGGGGTGGGACTGCTTGCCAAAATGGGAGCAATTGGTTTGGCTTGCATTTTTTAACTACCTGATTTGCACTTTCTGAGACAATGCATGGTCTGAAACACAGCTACTCTGCGAAACGCACATTTCTCCAAGTTCTAAAATGTACTTTTCCAGCCATATATATATATATATATATATATATATATGCACACAATGTGCCTATTAGGATAAAGTGTGCATTTATTTATGAAGACAACATGCAAAAATGCATTAGATTAGAGGAACTTGCATGCAAAATGATATGTATATTAGTCAGCATTGTATACAAAACTGTCTTTATTGATATGCAAAAATGCTAAGTTTATTTTCATGAGGAATTTTGAAATGTCAAAGAAGGACATCAGACACAGGTACCTCATAGGATCATAAAGTTGGAAGGGACCCTGAGGATCATTTAGTACAACTCCCTGAAACGCAGCAATATGCAGCTGCATCAAACCTGCAACCCTGGTGTCGTCAGCACCGTGCTCTAACCAACTGAGCTATCCAGCTATGCAGAATTTTTTATGGTTGTTTTTTTTAAAAAAAAAATATTGCAGCTGAAATGTGGATAAGTAAATGTAAGACTGGAAAAACAAGAAGCTAGGATCACCAATATTGACAGCTACATCCATCCCTAATTGCAGCCTTAATCAACTAAAAATGTGCCCCCTGATTCATTTCACTTATGTGTGTCTGTTATTTATATATAATATAATTCTTGATTTGAGTACTACTTGTAAAAACTGCAGATGGCAAGCTCCAACCTTTTAAAAACTAGTTCACGGTCTCCTCAGAAGGCTGGAGATAAAGTTTGGAGAGAAGGACATTCAGCGCTTCCTCTGACCTCCCTTACTCTATCTCTCCTCCCTACATTGTAGACCTCAGTTGATCTAGCATGGACGGTTCCTCCCTTGGCTTTAAGTGATATAAAACATGGAAGAAATTAATTGCGCTGAACCATACAACCCTGCCGCTTTCCAATTCATTCCCCCTCACAATGAGGTTTTGTTAGCTTAACACAGCTACTCTGCGAAACGCACATTTCTCCAAGTTCTAAAATGTACTTTTCCAACCATATATACGAGGAGCCTGCAGGATCAGGCCAATGGCCTGTGAGGATAACCAGAGCTTACAGGGTTAACAGCTCATGGGAAGTTACTTCATGTCACTGGGGGGGTGTTCACTTCTTTGTTATGTGAATGGTTTACTTTCTGTTTTGGCTGCGATAGGAGAGGCATCATGCCGCCACTCTCTCCTGGTTGAACTGTTTGAACTGTGTTATGTACTGAAGTTCTCACCCTGGGCCAGCAGGCGAATACTGTAGATAGTTTTCACTTGGGTCCGCATATGCAAATAAGGAATTGAAAGTGACGTCCAGTGATTGGATAGTTACAGAAAGTTGTTACTGTTGCTTTGTAGTTGAACTCTATATGAGCAGGTTGGCTGAACCCTTCAGCCCAGTTCTGTTCTGGCCTGTGAATAAACAAGAGCTGTTTGAAGAATCGCTGTGTCATCTGATATGTTCACCCACAACTTAACAAACTGTTTATTTGTTCCGCTGCTGTACAATAAAAGCTTCGTAGAATAGGAAGCTGCTGTACGTGAGTTTTACTGCATGGCTGAGATTCTTCCACACAGGCTCATGCTGCGCAAGTTACACTGCTGTAGCCGGGAGGAGCAGGTTCGCACAGTGGAAGCAGACTGGACGCACAACAGTCCCGCTGTTCGCAGCCGAAATGGACGTTCATCGGAACATGGCCCACCTAGTCCAGCATTCTGTTCTCATAGTGGCCAGTCTGATGCACTCTGCTCACCTGCAATTCCCAGCAACTGTCATTCAGCCTCGGTCCAGGATATCTGAAGGAGCGTCTCCACCCCCATCGTTCTACCCAGACACTGAGGGCCAGCACCGAGGGCCTTCTGATGGTTCCCTCACTGCGAGAAGCCAAGTTAGAGGGAACCAGGCAGAGGGCCTTCTCGGTAGTGGCACCCTCCCTGTGGAATGCCCTCCCACCAGATGTCAAAGAGAACAACAACTACCAGACTTTTAGAAGACATCTGAAGGCAGCCCTGTTTAGGGATGCTTTTAATGTTTGATGTATTACAGTATTTTAATATTTTTTTGGAAGCCGCCCAGAGTGGCTGGGGAAGCCCAGGCAGATGGGTGGGGTATAAATAATAAATTATTATTATTATTAAATTTCCTCTGCACAAGGGATCTTCTACTAGAAGATCTCTGGGCGATCTGAAGGAGATCACCCAGCAATGACATTACTGAAATGACTCCTATTATACTCCTGAAACAAAGAAAGGTGGTGGGTCAAGGAGAGACAGAGAGAGCCGGAGTGGAAAGATTCTGAGTTCAATTCAGTTCTGGTACTCAGAATAGATGCTTAGGGGACAAGGCAGTCTTTAATTCTACATTTGATTCTAAGTGTTCTGGACTGCCCTTAATTTCTCCCCCAACCCATTACTGTGATCAGGCCAGCCACCATTTTAATTTCCCACAATGCCGCTCATCGTTCAGGAACATTTGGGGAAACTGAAATGGCAGCTAGATCCTGCCGCCACTGCTGTTTAACCATTTACCAGTATTCTACTGTTGGTCAGGAAAGTCCAGCAAGGGAGGAAATTCATGAGGCAACACTTTCCCAATTGTGTGTGTGAGAGAGAAAATTAAAATCTTGAGCCATCCCTGACAGAGAGCCACAAATCTTTCATTGTTGCTGTCAATATTTGTAGGCTGCTCTTTGGGTTAAACCACAGAGCCTAGGACTTGCCGATCAGAAGGTCGGCAGTTCGAATCCCCGTGACATGGCGAGCTCCCATTGTTCGGTCCCTGCTCCTGCCAACCTAGCAGTTCGAAAGCACGTCAAAGTGCAAGTACCAATAGGTACCACTCCGGCGGGAAGGTAAACAGCGTTTCCGTGCCCTGCTCTGGTTTGCCAGAAGCGGCTTAGTCATGCTGGCCACATGACCTGGAAGCTGTACGCCGGCTCCCTCGGCCAATAAAGCGAGATGAGCGCCGCAACCCCAGAGTCGGCCACGACTGGACCTAATGGTCAGTGGTCCCTTTAACTTTACCTTCCCAAATTATGTTCCTCAGGGCAAGAAGTGCCCTACTAAAAAATACGGAATAACAGATAGATACAATCTTGCTTAAAATGTATACAGGAAGTGCAGTGCAAGCGATGGAAGTCAATCAATGAAATTTTATTATTATTTTCATATTGAGATATTTGTAGAATAAATTTGGAAGAAATTCTTCCAACTTTTCTTCTTCTTCTTTTCTCTTTATTTTTTCTTCTTTTTTCTTTTCTTCTCTTTTGTTCCTTTTTTCATATATATGTGCTTATTTGAAATATATATGTATGTATTTGCATTATTTTGCTTATATTTTGTAACAATTATGTTAAATAAATTGAAAATTGAAATTTTTTTTGAAAAAATTGCCCTGCTAGAGCACACCAAAAGCAGTGGAGGTCAAAAGGGTCAGTGCTCCACCAACTTCATTCAGCCCTCAGGCAGCCCCACCTGCCTGCCTTTGAAGTTAGAGCTGGTTTAAGGAGTGGCTCCACCTGGTGGATTCCTTTTCCTAAGTCTCAGTGTTGCCCTTGTAGAACTCAGATGGAAGGAGGACTGGCTCTGGCTTCTATTATTGTTGATCTTCCTGCTTTCTGCCTCACCAGTCCCAGTGCTGAAGAAATACAACATGTGCCGTTAATAATGATTGTGCAACCCTTATATCATATAAAGGTAAAGGGCCCCCTGACCATTAGGTCCAGTCGTGACCGACTCTGGGGTTGCGATGCTCATCTCGCTTTATTGGCCGAGGGAGCCGGCGTACATGTGGCCAGCATGACTAAGCCACTTCTGGCGAACCAGAGCAGCGCACGGAAACGCCGTTTACCTTCCCTTCGCAGCGGTACCTATTTATCTACATGCACTTTGACGTGCTTTTGAACTGCTAAGTTGGCAGGAGCAGGGACTGAGCAATGGGAGTTCACCCCGTCGTGGGGATTTGAACCACCAACCTTCTGATCTGCAAGCCCTAGGCTCTGTGGTTTAACCCACAGCGCCACTCGTGTCCCCTATAGAATATAGGGGACAATTATTCACACAATTAGCATTCTTGTTCAAAAACAATTTTTCACCATGTATCAGATTTGTGAGAATAAGACAAGTACTTACAAAGTGCCCTGAAAACTTATAAGCTATCTAAAATAAAGTGAACTTGCAGTGTCAGATTTTACTAAATTCTTACAACTTCTTTTTGTTTTTTAAGTAAGTTCAAAAAGAAGGTGGGTAAGTTCAAAGATGTTCCCGGTAGCTGTGAAGTGCAGATGGAAGACAGGGTGCCAGCGTTCTATCCCCGTTTCGCCCTAGCAGTCCATAAAGTCGAAGAGCTGCTATTTCACCCCTGACAGGACCAATTTATTGGGGTTATAGAAACAATTTCTTGGCTTAAGTATAAAGAACTGAATAGCTTAGCAAGGTAGCCATGTTTGATTACAGATATATATACTCTCATTGTGGGCTTTTTAGCAGGTGTTTTACATTAATAAGGAGGAGGAGAAATGAAGGAGAGGATGGAAATGATACTATCAATACTTACATCCTCTCCTCCATTTCTGCTCCTCCTTGTTACTATAAAACACCTGCTAAAAAGCCCACAATGAAAGTATATACAGTATATCTGTAATCAAACATGGCTACCTTGCTAAGCTATTCAGTTCTTTATGCTTAAGCCAAGAAATTGTTTCTATAACTACATGTAAGTATATAATTATGAACCTTTGTATTTAATTGCATTTAATTGAACATTTAGAAATGTATTGTGATGATTCTAATGAGATTTTGTTTAAATTATTATTAGTTAGCACTAATAGTCACATTAATGGCTGGAGACTACTGAGGAAGCCCAGAAAACTGCTCAGGGAGTGGGCTATCAGCCAAACCCAATAAATTGGCCCTGTCGGGGAAGAAATAGCAGCTCTTCGACTTTATGGACTGCTAGGGTGAAACGGGGATAGAACGCTGACACCCTGTCTTCCATCTGCACTTCACAGCTACCGGGAACATCGTTGAACTTACCCACAAGAATATTAATTGTGTGAATAATTGTCACCTGTCACCACTCCCAGTGGGCACAAGCCACCACAGGACCAAAGGCCTTTCTTGTCCTGGATCCTGCTTTCCACAGCGGTCAAACACATGCCAGCAGGAAGCCCACCCCCAAGGTATGAGAGCAATAGCTCTCTTCCACTATTGTCCCCTGGTATTCAGAGACTTGGTGGCACTGAAGAAGGCCTGTTTTTCTGCACAACATTATTCGTTAGTGTTTTATTGAAGTGAGAGTTGAGTAGATAGAGTGGAAGAAAAGTGTGATTGTTGAGCAATTCTCTATGTGGTGGCTGTGTGTTTAGATTGGATTTTGGAATATAATCTGCATGCGAATGATTTTGCTGATTGTATTAGTATGTGTGCTTCTTTTCGTAATATTTATGGGATTTTCATGATGATATATACTGTAATTCTGTTGCATTTTAATACATCTTGATGTGTGTGATTTGCTTTGGTGGTTCTTGGTTGCTTTACATGGGCATCTTGTTTAGAGATATTTATTGCTGTTCACTTACATTATTATTATTTTAAAAAAATTGAATTAGTATTGTTTGGGCTTTGAATGTGGGATTTATATTGTCTTTCTTATATTGATCAATTTTTGTTGGGATATGCATTAATTAGCCACTTTGAGTTCTGCTGAAATATGAAATGGTATATAAATTAAACTGTACCAAAACAGCTGCCCCCACTTCATCAACTGGTGGGGCTACTCTTATTTTCATGCTTAGTTAAATAAATTCTCACCACCCTCTGTGGGAAGGCGGCAACTTATCCCATCACCCCCCCCCCCAGGACTGCAATGAATTACAAAGTAAGAGAAACGCAAATTGACTTTGGGTTCTTTTGTACAATAACTGAGTGCACTTTCGACAGAGTGTTTCTCATAAAACACTGCCATGGCTGTCATGAATCACACTCCCGTCAGTTGAAAATGTTCTTGAAAGTCTGCTTCCTCCTATTATTGGAGATAATTCCGCCCCCCCCCCCCCGGAAATATGCAATTATTGAAACTTGGCTGCCAAAAAAAAAAGAGTGGGGGGGGGGAGGGAGGAAACTGGGAATGTGCATCAATTAGAAGCCTCTGTCCTGATTAAAACCAAAATGAACTAGAATAAGCAAAAACGAACAAGGATAAGCATTCTTAAAAAATAAAAAAGGCAGAACAAGAAAATGAAAATGGAGCCTAAATTAAAGCGCAGAAGATCTTTTCCTCCCATATACACTTGACAGATGCATTGACGCCAGAGTTATGAGAGACAGCAGAAGTGCAAATGAGGCCACATTTGGAATCCAATAAACCCTCAGTATTATACTTCAGAAAGCTGTGTGGTGGGCCTGAGGCTTAGAAACTGGGACTTTAATGGAACGGGGCATGTTGTTTTATGCAGTAGCATTATGCTGGTTGATAACTTGCCAAAAGTACGATAGGGGAATGTGACAGAGAAGGGACAATTTTACTACTTTGGGGGGTGGGCAGAGGCATCTATCTTTCTTTTTTTTTTTCTTAAGCAGCTAACGGAAAACTCATCTCTAATACTAGATCCTTTATTGTGCCGTTTAGCGCTTGTTGGGGAGAAAAGGCCCTCTCCCGTTTTCACCGGGCACTTTGTGAAAGCTATGAAAGGGAGGCTGGGAAAAGGTTCAGAAACAGGCAATGATGGAGGGGGGTTGGAGGAACTCCCTTCTGGAGAAAGCTTGCAACGTGTGGGTCTTTTCAGCTTCGGGAAAAGACAAGCGAAGCGAGAAGGCTTGAGAGAGATGCAAAGAATTTCTCCCTCTCTCATCATAGTAGAACTGAGGGCCACCTAATGAAGCTGAACGTTGGAAGAACAAGGAAGAAGAAGAGGAGGAGGAGGAGGAGGAGGAGGTGGAGTTTGGATTTGATATTATCACTACCCTAAGGAATCTCAAATAGGGACACGGGTGGCGCTGTGGTCTAAACCACAGAGCCTAGGACTTGCCAATCAGAAGGTCGGCAGTTCAAATCCCCGCAACGGAGTGAGCTCCTGTTGCTCGGTCCCTGCTCCTGCCAACCTAGCAGTTTGAAAGCACGTCAAGTGCAAGTAGATAAATAGGTACCGCTCCGGTGGGAAGGTAAACAGCATTTCCGTGCACTGCTCTGGTTCGCCAGAAGCGGCTTAGTCATACTGGCCATATGACCCGGAAGCTGTACGCCAGCTCCCTCGGCCAGTAAAGCGAGATGAGCGCCGCAACCCCAGAGTCGGCCACGACTGGACCTAATGGTCAGGGGTCCCTTTACCTTTAAGGAGTCTCAAAGTGGCTAACAATCTCCTTTCCCTTCCTCCCCCACAACAGACACTCTGTGAGGTGAGTGGGGCTGAGAGACTTCAAAGAAGAGTGACTAGCCCAAGGTCACCCAGCAGCTGCATGTGGAGGAGCAGGGAAGCGAACCTGGTTCACCAGATTACGAGTCCACAGCTCTTAACCACTACACCACGCTGGCAGAAGAAGCAAGGAGTTCTTCCCACAGCACATAGCTAAACTATGGGATTCGCTTCCACATGTTGTGGTGCATCGGATGTCAACTTGGGTGGCTTTGAAAGAGGATTAGACAAATGCATGGGGAATACGGCTCTTAATGGTTACTAGTCATGTAACTACCACTGCCAGAGGCAATATGCCTCTGAATACCAGAGCCGCTTGGAATCACATGTGGGGAGATGTCCTGCTTTGGGGCTTCCTGTGGGCATCTGGTTGGCCCCTGTGGGAACAGGTTGCTGGACCAAATGGGCCTTTCTGATGCTCTGATTTATTGAAGTTTCCAAAGGGCTGGATGCATGTTCACATGCCATGATAGATATGAGATGGTAGAGCAGAGGTGGGCAACATTCAGGGGCAGAGCAAGGTGGGGGCGGTGGGGGCAGACTGCCCCGGGTGTCATTACCAAAGGGGTGACATTCTGCGCACCGCCCACCCACGATTCCCGCCTACCGCGATCCGTCGGGGGAAGGGGTGGAGCTGCAGTGCTTTGCCGGTGGCCTTCCCCCTTTGTTTTGACAGCCCCGCGCTCCCGGGCTGCTATAGGAGGCAGGCAGGAAGAAAGGAAGAGGACGGGAAGGAGGCAGACGAGCAAATAAGCAGAGGGTGGAGGAAAGGAGGAAAGCAGAATCTCCCTCAACCCAGGACCCAAACCCTGTAACCACAGAAAAAGCTCAACAACTATGGTCAATCCTTCCCTTAAACAATCCAGGAAGCTGTCTCACATGCAAAATTCTCTGGAGTCTATGGCTTCTGGTTAATGTGCTTATAGCGTTGTAGCACAGTGGTTCTGACCTATGTCCAGATGGTAGTTTTCCATAGCATGTAAATGGTAGTGCCTGGGCTCTTCTGAGGTGCTTCCTCCTGGGGCAGCCCCACTTTCATGATGGGAAACTGGCCAACTAGCCTGCAGATCCCATGAAAGGCTTGAGAGAAGCAATAGTTGGAGAAGATGGCTGAGAGAAGACAACAACAATCACAATGGGTAGATCATAGCCAGTCTTTTTATACTGTGAGTAGATTGCAGTATCTTGGGAGCACAACTAGATTTCAATGTGTGTGTCTGGGGGGCGGGTGACAAGAAATTTTCTGCCCCGGGTATCACCTGACCTTGCTACGCCACTGGCAACATTTTTTCCCTGCCATTGTTTCCAACATTCCATCACACACCAGCAAGAGACAGAACCCAGCACGAATCTGTGCAGGTTAAGAGGTGCAGAGATACAAATAAGAAGAGACTTGATTTTGAGGAGCTGTGGTCACTCAGAGTGTGTGGGGGGGGCAAGTTTAGGAGGATGCCACTTCAACCTCTTTGGAGGACAGTTGGGGTGCAAATGCAATAATTAATCTATGCTCCTGTTTTTTGCTACCTTAGTGTAATACTGTTAAAACAAAACGACTGCCTTGGTTTCTTCCATCTGTCTGGTCGTTTTAACTGTATCTAGTTTTGAAATTGTTTTGTGGGTCTTTGGACCACAATAAAGTTTTGATTTGATTTGTAATGCTGCTGCATTGACAAAGCAATTAAATCCGGAAATTAAATGGTAACCTTTCGATCCTGATTTTTACTTTATTTGTTTGTCTACTGGCATTTGAGTGATTTGAATTAATTGATGTCAGATTTGTTAAGTTGAATATGTCGTGGGGCTTGCGACGACTGTTCTTGTTTATGAAACAAATGTTTTCCATATGTTTAAGAAAGATTTAATAGTATCGAGTTTGTTAGCTTGCTCCTGTGGTTATAAATCTTGGCTTGCATTCATGGTCAAACCTACTCGGAGTAGACCCATTTAAATTAATGGACATAAACTGAGTTGGGTTCAATAATTCCAACAGGTCTGTTATCGGTTGACACAGCCCATTATTTTTATGCACCTGGGATAGCTGATGATGTTTTTGTTATAACTATATATTGCTTAGGGACGCGGGTGGCGGTGTGGGTTAAACCACAGAGCCTAGGGCTTGCTGATCAGGAGGTCAGCGGTTCAAATCCCTGTGATGGGGTGAGCTCCCGTTGCTCGGTCCCT